ATTGGCTCAGTGCTGTATATGCTATGTGCTTGCTAGTCACTTGTAGTGTCTCATTGATCAGAGACATGGCCACTATATCTCAGTGTGGTGTTCACCTACTGAAGCTCCTGAAGAGGAAAGCAAACAGTGTTTAAGCTATTCCTTGCTAAGTCCTTTCCTAGGACAGAATGCCTCTTCATTCTCAATGCTTCTCATGTTTTAAATTAAAATATGCTCACACATGGTCCCTTTACAATTTTCTTCATTTTCCTATGTAGTTTTAACTGGATAGAAGAGAATCTTTAATATCTTGGCCAAATTCAAATGGTCCTAGAACAATAACCTTTTCTTAAAAATATTACTGATGATAAAGATAGCTCTCCGTGGTTTCAGTTTGTGTGGCTATTTTTATGGTCCTCTAAGGACTAGATCACTTCTAGAAAGCTTTCTTTAACTCATAATTCTGGAGTCTGGAAATTCTAAATGATAGGACTCTAGTGTCGAGAGGCAGAAAGGGAGAAGTCTTGTCACAGAAGGGGCCAAGCAGGTGGGCTGACGTCTTAGAGCTAACTTGTCTGAGGGGAACTAAATGACTCCCTTCCAAGGGCTGTATTACCTCCCACTGGGACCAACATTTTGAAGGTTACACTCCCCATCCCCACCCCCAACACTGCTACTCTGAACACAGAGCATGCGTGTTGAGTGAACTGAAAACCAAAGACTAAACAAAGAAAGAAACGACAGAAGGAATGAACACTGAATGTTCAAAAAAGAGTGAGAAAAAGAAGAGTTAGTCACCATAACCTTACAGATCTGGTGGATAAAGACAGACAAACTGTGCCTGGTTCTTGGTGGAGCTGGTAAGGAGTGTTTTATTCAAGGGGGAATCTCTCTGAAGGCAATGGGGACCCCCACAGTGGTATCTTGCATGGGGGAGAGAAACTGGACTCAACTGTAAGAACAGCAAGAATGAGTGGGAATTCTTAGCCAGAGAGCAGGTTGGGGGTCAGTAGATGAAAAATTACTAAGAATAAAGACCAGGGCTAAAGGGAATTGTAACTAGGCCAACTCATCGGAACTGTGGCTGAAGGCAAGCAGGACTGACAAGATATAAAGGAGGTTAGATACCAACGGTTGGAGAGTGTCCCTGAACCAACTTAATAGAATTCTGGCTCAGACTGGTCTCTGCTGGCCACAGAGAGAAACTCCAGGTCAAGTCCAGTTGTCCAGACTCCAATGAGTCTGATTAGACTTAAGAAAAAACTCTCATTAAATGAGGTGCAGGAGAAGGCCTTTTCAATTACGGTCACAATGGAAATGTGCTCTATTTCCTTCTGTGTTATGAAGGCTAGCCTTTTTGGAGGCAGTGGAAACACATAATACCACACCGTTTATGCGGCTGTGCTGACAGAATACACTCGAATAAGACCTTATGGAATATGACATGGAAATGTCACATCCCGTTCCTTTTGTCCAGCAGGTGTAGGTGTGGGAACTGTTCATGAGCTCTCTCTGAGAAAGACAAGCGTGGATGTGGATGTGAAAGTCATCCTTTGAAGGGGAAGAGCAGACGTGGACATTGTTTACATCAGATCTGAAAACCAGTTCAGATCTGTGCTGTGAGGAACTCAGGAACATTGCTCCTACTATCTTGAGCAAATGTCCCAAATGACCAAACCATAGCAGAGCTCTGTTTAGAAAGCACAAACTAGAGAAAGACTAAGAGGAGTTACAGACATATAAAAATAGATATGGGCCAGGCAGGAATATGAAAATGAACGCTGGTGGGCTGTAGAAGTGAGTACATTGTTTTGTTCTGTTTATTTTTTTAGCCACCACTTTTACCCAAGATATAAAGAATGAGAGCAACAGAGAACAAGAAAGAGAGAGAGGGAGAAAAAGAGAGAAAGAGAGTGAGAGAGGGGGCGGAGGGAGAGGGAGAGAGAAGGGAGGGAAATGAGTGTGAGGAGAGAAAGAGAAGATAGACAAGGAAAGTAACTTGAGTTAAAGAACACTCACAGACTTCCAGTCTAACTATATTAATGGAAAGAAGCCCAGCTCAGCTAAGAGAGAAGATCCTGGACAGACAGGATGAGAAGTATGTGTTTTCTTGCTGACTTCCAGAAAGGAAGCTCTTCCCAGAACAAACAATGTCTCTGAAGATTGGCGCAGTGTCTACTATTTAGCCTTTGAAGAAGACATCATCATAATTTCAACTGAAGGTCAACTTTCTAAATAGGAGTCTGAGTGACTTTCTTTTTTTTATTTTTATTTATTTATTTATTTTTCCTGAGTGACTTTCTTATTGAAAGAGTTCCACTCTATAAATTCAGAATATTTTCTCTTCCTCTCTCTCTCATCATATACATACTCACACACACAAATACACACATAAACTAGTCATCTACAGTTCTGCAATTTACAGAAGGATCCTTATCATATTTTTTTTTTGCGGGGGGTCATGGGACTTGAACTTAGGACTTGGGTACTGTCCTTTAAACCTAGGAAACAACAAAGGAGCAGAAGACAGTTTCACAACGCCATTTCTGGCTTTTTGGTGTTTCATGGGAGATCAGTCTCACAAGCTTTTCTTCCCCAGGCTAGCTTTGAACTGCAGTTCTTAGACATCAATCTCCTAAGTAGCTAAGGTTACAGGTGTGAGCCACCAGCATGCAACTGATACGTATATTTTTGGCCATTATTTTTGGTGGCTTTGTACTTTGGATGTGGTATCTTGTGAAAACAACACTACTATTTTGTCTAAAAATGGTCCAAGCAGTTCAAATTTGAAAGCAGATCTTCCCTGTAGCTGAAAACCAAAGACCAAACAAAGGAAGAAACGACAGAAGGAGTGAACATGGAAAATGTTCAAAAAGAATGAGCAAAAAGAAGAGTCACCGTAACCTTATAGATCCAATGGACAGAGAAAGAAAAATCATGCCTGGCCCTTGGGGACGCTGGTCAGGAGTGTTTTATTCAAGGCCCTTGGTGAAGCTGGTCAGGAGTGTTTTATTCAAGGGGGAGTCACCCTGAAGGTGATGGGGGTCTTCACAGTGGGAACTTGCACTGGGGAGAGAAACTGGACTCAACTACAAGAACAGCAAGGACAAGTATGACAATGATGATGGGATTGAGTATTTCTCCTTGTCATGGTCATACTTGTCATCCCTAGGCCTTCTGGTCCTTACCTGGTGATTCATTTAGAGGCTCTTTGGTCATTGACCTCTGTAGTCACCTCTTTCCAGTTTTTGTACTCTCCCTGAGTCTCTTGTGCACACCAGGTCCATGTGAAATGCATTTCTTGCCCTTAGGAGGGCAGTAGAGAGCATCTTTCAAGGGCAGCCTGTCCAGGAGACTGTATCCAGTGCATTACCTTGCTGAGTGAAAGGGTCAGGAAGGCAGCATTATCAGGATGATAAAAGTTGTTTTTTTTTCTTTTCCTAAGACTTTGAATAAAGGACTTTGAATAAAGGAAAGAGATAAAGACTTTTACTTATAAGAGCGGCTCCCTTAGTGTTACGTGATCAAATTTTCATAGGCAAAATAAAGTAATGGAGTTAGACCGAAAAGAAGTGTAGCCCTAAGGATGTTCTAACTAAATCATCAGCTAGAACATTCTATGTTCAGCAACATGGTGGTGAGATGGGCATGAATGATATGATCAACCACTCAGCAACATAGTAGGTGAGGTTCTCAAATTACAGCTGCAACCAGATTCCCTTCCTAGCCTTAGCCCTAGGTGGCCTATATCTTTGGGGCAGAAAATGGCCCAAGTGAGTATTAAATCACAAGCTACTTGAAGAATGGGATCATTTATTCAGATTTGAACCTCTGTGTTAATCACAGAACAAAGTGGATAGGGATGTGTATGTGTGTGTGTGTTTAGTAAAAGTGAATTCAATTTCCTTTACCACTAGAGAAACTGTTAGATATTTTAATTTAATTTCATTTGTTAAATCTAAGTAGTACTCATGGAAAAGCTTCAATCAAGATAAAAAACAAAACACTAGTCTTAACAGCTTTGAGTAAGAACTATTTTGTTTACCTCTTTGGGCTTTAAACTTAAACCATGGTTCATGGAATGCCTGGCTTTCTGAAATATAATATTTTTTTTCCTTATGTTATTTTTGGTGCCCAAATCTTCCAAATTGTATTTCATAGTTTTTCTTTTGTTGTTGTTTAAAATGAAGTTTTGGAAGGGGTGGAGACAAGAAGAAACAGCAGTAAACAAACAACAACCCCAACAACAAAGCCCCTTTGATTAAGCCTGGTTAGGGAGCCCAGCAAAGTGGTTTCATTCTGGTGCCAAATGACACTCACTAAAATTACAGCAATTTTTGATGTACTTGCCAATGTTGGTGTTATTTTTACTTTAAAGATGTAACAGATTGCTCCATAATAAATAATTGAAGCCTAATGTTTCAAAAGGGTCCAAAGGTTTGGGTCTTTTACTTCTGCCTTCTCTTCTGGGACTAAGCTGTGTCCAGCAGAGCCACTCCTTGTTTCAATGCAACTCTATTTGGGCGATTTTTTTTTTCTGCAAGAACAAAGTCGAATCTTTTTATTTTAAACCATCCGGTTCCAAATGTCATAGGTTCTATCATTATTCAGTACTGAAGCAATAACTGCACTTATCCAAGAAGAAGAGAATGAACTTCAGAACAGCTGGATTTCTGAGCTCGTGGGAGAAAGTGTTTAGAGAACGAGGTCTGGGGTGAGAATCTGTAATTTCCTTGCTGACTTGTATTTAGACCTAAAGCTAGGAACAGAAGGCTAAACTGTACAAGCTGTCCTCCGTGTTTAGCACAGTCCAGGCTGGGCAGTTTAGCTTCATACCAAATGGCACTGTGAGGGTTGATTGGATTGTTGGCTTTTACGATTTAATCTAAGGAAGAAGTATCCAATAAAAAAAAAGAATTAAAGGTGTATTTCATGTTGTTCTAAGAATATCTTTTAGAATCTGAAAATAAGTAAAAGCAACCCAACCATGAACTGACAGCTTTCCCCTCTCACTGATCTAGGCCGCCATTGTGAAGTTCATCAGATGATCGGGAATTACATGTGGGATCCCAGCACCAACAAGTCATTTGATATTGGTGTCAATAGAGACAGTCTGATGCCTCTCTGGTGGAATGGCTCAGAACCTCTGTGGATCACTTTGACCAAGGCCAGAAGGAAGGTCTACATGTACTACTGGCCAGGTGAGTTTGTTGGCCTCTGAGCTTCTCCACTCATCCAAATCTACAAACACTATGGAGTATGTGAGGAAAAGCAGTGGACTATAGTCCTGCTGGAAGACCAAAGATCCCAGAAATGGGATCTTTATGTAACAACTACATCTTATGGGCCCATTTTTAATGATCTTTGTTTTGAAGTCTCTAACATCAGATCAGAAATAATACCATTTCCAGATTCCCCTGGTTCAAAAATACTGTTGCAATATATCATGGTTTTTTTCTGTTGTTCATGGGCAAAATTTTGGATATGTGAGAGATAATATGGAAAAGAGAATTCAAACTACTCACATCATGGAAATTCATTTAATGAAGTCCCTTATACAAATCCTGTATACACGAGGTCATTAAGAAGTAGAATTCTGGGGCTGGGAAGGTGGCTCAGTGGTAGAGCACTTGCCTTACATGCATGAGGCTCTGAGTTCAATTCCTCAGCACCACATAAGCAAAAAAAAAAAGAAAGAAAAAAGCTGGAAGTGGCGCTGTGGCTCAAGTGGTAGAGCGCTAGCCTTGAGCTGAAGAGCTGAGGACAGTGCCCAGGCCCAGAGTTCAGGCCTCATGACCAGACCCCCTCCCAAAAAAAGAAGTAGAATTCTTTTTCTTACTGTAATGAGGTAAGTAGTAAACTTACCCTATGCAACTGTGTTGGCTCCTTTGAGAAGTCCATGGGATACTCTCATCCTGATTGAATTCCTTCAATCAGAAGGACTCAGTGCTAACAGAATAATCAATTTACCATTCTCTCCCCATTTCTGGGATTCACTCATTTGACAGGTGTAAGCAATTTGACTTTTCCGTGTGCATAGCTACAGGCACTTTCCCCCTAATTATTGAGGCTCTAATAGTAATGATCATCATTGTGGACAAAGCTGTCAGGGATGGGAGGGGGGAGGCTAAAAGAAATGAAAGGAAAACAGAACAGCAGCAGCTGAGAAAATCTTGAGGGCATGGTGGGTTATTGGATAGGGTAGCTGGCAGGGATGGGGGAGAGCGAAGAGAATGAATAAGCTAAGGCTGAGTCACAGATGGCCCACATGGACGGTGTGAGCCTTCAGCAGGAGTTTGGAGGATGCTGTCTGGAGATAGCCTCCTGGAGAGTTGCTTAGGGCATGCCAGGGTGTGCCAGCCCAGAACATAGACAGATGGAGACCACAGTAAGCAGTCCTGCGGCCCGGCTGTGGCGAGGGTATGAAATCTGCCTCAGCGCCGCTACGGGCATCTGACAGGTGAGCTTAGGAAGGTAAGCGTAGGCTGTGTTAAGTCAGAAATGGGCAAGAACAGACACAGGCTTGTTCTACCAGCAGAGATACATTCAGGGGACATTTGGGATTGTGTCCACAGTGGTCACCTAGGCTGACATGAGAAGGTTTTGACTAAGGGAATCATTCAGGGGGCTTCCTTATCTCAAAGGAGGCTGTCTTTTATGGAGTTGGATGTTAGATGAAAGATGCAAATCTAATGACTTATACAGAGGGATGAAGCCTATTGGGGAACTCATTGACTAAGGCTAAAAAACTTAGCTGTGCTTTGTGGTTATTCTCAGAAGCATGAGGAGCATATGTGTATCAGAACAGGAAAGGACTAGATGGGGCACATGGCCTTAGAGATCAACCTTAAAACAAATTTAAATACCATGGAGACTATTATCATAATACAATAGGGGCCACCTTCCACTGTATCTGATTCGTTCTATTTTATTTATCACAAACCTCTATGTATCACCAAGTATCTAATAGATCTCAAAGCTATTTCACATGTAAAATACCTCATTGCTCTTCCAAAACAGCTCCTAAGGGCAAGCAAAGCCATTCACTTCCTTTGATTCACAGTTCAGCAGCTAATATGATGTGATAAAACTGTCCTGAAATCAGTTATCAGTTTTCTTACTAACAATTAGGAGGAAAGGGGCTAAACTGATCGCCTCCTCCAATTTCCTCAGTGACCTAAATGAAGATTAGATCAAGGTCTGGATGTGCTGACGTTCTGGTAGAAACTGGATGACAAGTCTCTTGTTTCTTAGACTATGCCTAGTCCTTCAAGACTGGATTTCTCAGACTCTCTGAGAGTTGGCTCTCTCAGCTGCCCAGCTGTGCCCTGGTAGCCTCTATTCTCCTGCTGGGATTAATGGTCATTGCTGTCCTTTCTCTCTTGACTTTGGTCCCCTCCGGCCTCAGCCAATAGCCCAGTATGTGCTCATTTGTCTACATGATTAAGTGAAATGTAATGGCATTGCTGCTTAACATGACTTCATTTTATTTTTCTTCTTCAATCCTCCTCTTCATTCTTTATTCCCCATGGGACACTGTGCAGACTCCTTGATGAGGCCTGGAATGGTTCATTTCTCCAGTGAGCTGTGTTATGACACTTCAAGTCTTACCATTAAGTCAATATTTAGAAGTGCAATTTAGAAATGGCAGTAGTTCAAGTCTTCCTGTCAGGGCTAAAGCAACAGACTGACAAATTGAGCAGTGGTAAAGAGTTCAACCTGCCCCACCTCATTTAATGTCCTGTCCAATAGTACTATCAAATTGCAAAAGGAAAAATAGGTGCTTTAGCAAATGATTGCAGACTAATAGTGTTCTACAAAGGATTAAAGCTAAGGATGTCTGGGTATTGGTGGTTCGTGCCTGTAATCCTACTCAGCTAATCAGGAAACAGATCTGAGGATTGTGGTTCAAAGCCAGCCTGGGCAGGAAAGTCACTCCATTTGATCACAGAAAAATCTGGAAGTGGTGATGTGGCTCAAGTGATAGGGTGCTAGCCTTGAGAACAAAAAGGCTCAGGGACAGCCCCCAGGCCTTGAGTTCACAAGTCCCAGGGCTAGGAGAACACACACACACACACACACACACACACACACACACGCACACACACACACACACACACACACAAAGTGAAGTATGTGATGTTTGCAAACTTTATTCCTCTATCCCATTCTTTCAGCGAGATGTCAAAGAAATTTTCTTTGCAGATAAAATGAAATGATTCCAGTATCCACTTCATATTAAAGAGCAACTCAGCACTAAAGGATATCTTGAGGACTGAGGATCCAGGGACCTGATCTTGGGAGGAGGCTAACATGATAAGTGGAAAGAGTTTGCGCTCCTCACATGATCAGTGCTACTTTAGATAGTGGCAGTAGTTTTTAAGTTCATTCTGGCAGCTCTCACAAAACATCAAATATTAATTCCAATATGAATACCAAAATATTAATAAAAATGTAGTCACTTCTTAAAAACTCTGTGGTTAAGATTCTGGTATTCCAATTTTACATCTATCCTATATATTGCTGTATAACTCCTGACATCAAGTGGTCATATAAACTTGGCTGTGATCATTCATCAGATTCTGGGATGGTATTGGCCATGAGTTGGAGCTTCTTCTACCTCTTTCCATCCTATGCAGGTTTTGGAACAACACTAATACTTCCTATGCAGAGAAATATGTATGTCATTGGTCTTTACTCTCTCCCTTTTTGAAGTTGAGTTGGGAGGGAAATTGGCAACTCAATAGGCACTTAATTCAACTTCTACATGGCTTTAGCTGTTACAATCAATGTGATTCATTTGGGTAAGTGAAAGACATATTGATGATTGGTCAAAACCTCTAGATCATATACAACTTCTTCTTTCTTCCATAGTGGGTTATTGAAGCCAGTGTGGCACGCTGACCTTAGATGCATACACCCCGCTATAGTGCAAATCAGAAGTCCAGCATCTATCACATAAGGGTGTGAGTTAAGATTAATGCTCAGCCATTGTCTTTATATACATGATTATCAAACATTTAGATAAAAGCTGGATTTTAAAAAACCTGGAATTGTTAGCACTGCAAATAAAAACAATCTGTTGTAGTCAATACATTTCTCAATAAGATCATTCATTTGGCATTGGACTTTGGGATTTATGTACTCTTAGCTCTGGAAGACACCTTAATGTTTGTACTTCTGGTCCTAACACTCTTGAATTAAGAGCCTCTTTAGGGAACTGACCAAAACTAGTCTCAGTGGTAGAGAGTTCGCTTAACATCTGTGAAACCCTGAGTTTTATCCCCAGCACCTAAAAATACAGATCTCATTTTAAAATTAAATCCAGGGCTGGGAAGTTGGCTCAGTGGTAGAGCACTTGCCTTGCATGCATGAGGTCCTGGGTTCAATTCCTCAGCACCACATAAGCAAAAAAGAAAAAAAGCCAGAAGTGGTGCTATGGCTCAAGTGGTAGAGCACTAGCTTTGAGCTGAAGAGCTGAGGGACAGAGCCCAGGCCCAGAGTTCAGGCCCCACGACCGAACCCCCAAAAAAACAAACAAAAAAACAAAGAAAATTAAATCCAGGGCTGGGAAGGTGGCTGCTTGCCTTGCATGCATGAGGCCCTGGGTTCAGCACCACATAAGCAAAAAGAAAAAAGCCAGAAGTGGCACTGTGGCTCAAGTGGGAGAGCGCTAGCCTTGAGCTGAAGAGCTGAGGAACAGCACCCAGGCTCAGAGTTCAGGCCCCACAACAGGACCCCCCCCCCCGAAAAAAAAAGAAAATTAAATCCAAACATACATTTATTGTACTCACGTATTACAATGATCAGGACTGCAAGAAATTTTTTGTTGTGGTAACACATTTATACCCATAATACCTAATTGATTTTATTTGTCATGGAAAGTGAATGCATTAAAATTTTATCACCTTATCAGAGGAACCCTACGTTGCTGCAATTAATGTTGTCCAGCCAGGCTAGGTCTGAGTCAGAATTTATTAAGACTCTTTGGGTAGAAAGCACATTGCATCATTTCCTTTGTCAGTAACTTTGGCAAGCTGTGCATCACTGGTGTTGTCTGTCTGTGTCAGCAAGAAAAAGATTACGAATTCACATTTCAAATGTGAGATTGTCTCTGAAGAAAAGAAAAAGATCTTCCCAAGCATTCTGCAAGATTTCTAGGCGACAACCATTTCTGTTACAGAGACACCAAGAAGGTGTT